TTCTGAACACTGTTTAAATTTCTTGCTACGCAGAAGCTGCCTAACCCAATGGTTGTTGATTTCAAATGTGGCACTTTGCAAATACAAGGTAGCAATGAAAAACTTGTCCACTTGACCACAGTTAAATCGCACTCCCTTTTTTCACTCATATTAATTTAAAAACTAGATCTATAGAATACATCTAAACAAATGGGCCAAAAAATCTTGTGAAAGTGAAACAAAGACTTTGGCAATTTTACAGCAGCTATTGTACTCCCTTCTGAAAATTTGTCCCTTTATTTCATTCTGTTGACACCTTTTTTATGAGAAAAGAAAAGGTATACATATATTTCATATATGTTTTCAAATTGCAACGTTTTTGAAAACATATCGTATTATTTTTAACCTTTTGAAGATGTGGCACAAGAGAGAAGGAACAACCTTCCCTTTAATAGTGGTTGTATGTACAGGGTTCCAAGTTGTTGACATGAGTCAACGTCGAACTGGGAGAAGTTCCGGTTGGAAAAATAAGGAATCAACGCATGTGATTTAAGACACAAAGTTGATAGAGATGTGTGGCCTTTACCAGTTAAATTGACTTGCTCCTATGTGGCCATGGTGATGAAATAGAGATTCTAACTTGCCTCTAAAATAGTTTATCAGTAGAAGGCTTTTAGTTTAGTTTTGTTTAGTCAGGTTTACTTCGGGAATTCTTCCGGAGAGCAAGGGCACTGAGTTGTGGGCACGATCAAGGGCACGATCAAAGAGGAGTTTGCTTTAGCCAAACAGGTAAAGCAGTTGTCACGACCTACCTGAAAGAGCCGTAATGGATGGAGGAGTTTTTTTTAAGGCCAGGCAAAAAATAGACCAAAAAATGAATTATCTAACAGTAAAAAGAGGAAATGATTATTCTGGGTTATGCTTTTCTTCACTGCTTCCATGACCTTGCAAGAAAACATCCTAAAAGAAAAGTGCAAATTATGACTGATTTCTGGATTTGTTCCCAGAGAAACACGTTTCACTTAGGTTTGTTTCATTTGCCCGCCACGCTTATATCATCTCGAACTTGTTTACGCCACAATCATTAGTTAGAACTTAGGCTGTGTTTATAACGAGAGCCCATTGGGTTGAGTCGGTGAATCACAGTGCGCATGATGCGGCGAGACAAAACTTTGTTGACTGCTATTTTTGTATGTAGAAAACCCAGGATTAAAGCTCATCCCGTTACAGTCGATGAACCCGATTTAGGATTTACTGTTTGCCAGTAACACTTGATTAGAGAGAAGCGTGGTTTTAAACCTTAGCCAAAGAAAGGAACTGTTGTTTATTCCTTTGACACCTATGAGTGACCAAGACAGAATTTCTTCTTACAATATCTGCAGCAATACAATACATGCATCCAAGTGATGAGAAGAAAGAAAAATGTCAATTAGGGGATTATTGGTTGACCCAATACCAAATTCTCACAACTAACATTATACGAATTGTGTGACCGAAGGAAAGGAGAGTTTTCATGAGATCCTGGGAGTTAAAGGGTTAACCAATAAACCGACTATTATCTAGTTTATAGATGTTTGTCAGGCGACAGCTTTTTCTCTTTTTGTATAGTTGGACGCGCACAAATGTTCTTGAACCAAAGGGAACAAGCTTCTGATGTACTATCCCACGAAACACCATGATCCATTCAAGGGAAAAACGAAGTTTAACAGCATCGACATTTGAAAGAAGTGACCTTTGCCTCCCTATTAAAACCAGTTATTTTTAACGAAATACAAAATCAGTCTTAGTCTATGCATACTGGGGTCACCGCTTTTCCATAGGCTAAGCGGGGCCACTGACTCAATAGAAAGACTGAGTCTTGATTATATTTAAATGGATTAGAATGAAGTATCAAATATGCAAGACATGATATAGTACTTCAATGAATAGTTGTATGATAAGTTGAAGTGTACGCGAATTTTAATTGATTCTTATGGTCTATGGAAGGACAGAGGCATACATGACGTCACCATTAATGACATTTTGCTCTTTATTACATAAAAAAAAATATATTCCATGTTGTCATGGATCTGTACAGTAATAGATCACAGAAGACCTCAATGTGTTAAGAAAATTAGCGACATGGCCACGCCTCATGTGCCACTTTTTTGTTCTTACCTCGTTTTGATGTCATGTTTTGTATATTACTGAACAGAAGCACGGCAACATGGAATCCATTTCTATATAAATACTGTTGCGCCATGTAGATTTGGTACAGGTCTCCTTGTTTCGCCTTGTTCTTTGTTTTTCGACGAAGGAATCTTTTGAATTGACCTCAGGGTTCTAGGAGCAGAGATATAGTTTTGATCGGTCCAGGAACGCGACGCGGCTGGGCTGGACATAGGCGTATGTATATTTAATTGTTACTAAGCTTTAGCCCACATGTACCAGGCTAGAGTTTCTACTCTCTCTCTCTCTCTCCTTCATTTTTTGCTCTCAGATTTTTTACCGAATTGTTCGGTTTTTCTGTTTCCGTAAGAAGCAACACCCAAATTCCAATTCGACCCCCGATCCAATTTAAGTAAAGACAGTTCCACGGATATGCCTGTCCTTATCGTATTTTATTGATTAGCCAGGCGCTCTTAGCGCAGTCCATGATAATGAAGCTAGACCCGAGCAGTTTATTTGCTGAGAAAGGAACAAATGAAAAGCAGAACTTCTACTTTTCATTTGTTTACTTATTTCTGATTTTCTTTTTGAAAAAGAAAATCAGAAATAAGTAAACATTAACAAAACGATAAGTAACGCATGTACAAATCCATTTGAGTAGCTATGTATAGAAACGAGAAATCGGAGCTTTTTCTGTTAAAATCGTATTATCAAGGTGATTGTTTCAACTTTATGTTGTATTAGAATGCTTCTCAAAATTTCGTTCAGAGCACGCAGTTGAAATCAACTTTTAACTTACATACCTGTTAGACTTTTTATAGATCTAGCTTTGCTTTAAGTACAATCACAAGGATATAACGAAGATTTACTGACGTGCAAGACCTGGTGGCTAGTGGAGTTAGAAGTAGCCTGCGAGTAGGACACGCGTTTATCCGCCTGCGGGAAGATTTGGGACAAGTTGGGGAGGGGTTAGACGGCGGTCTGGCACTTAGTGCTAGACCCCTAGCATACCTATCGCTGGCTCAGTTTACTCACGGACTCTGCTTTCTTTGCAAGTTAAGAAACACTCGTGTCGTAGCGTTAATATTAGGGACTTTAAGAACCGAGAACGCGGTGGTCTGGAAAACGCGAGGACCGAGAGTGGGGCTGGGGCGAGCACCGCGTTCTAAGCGCGGGAAATATGTAGTTAAGATCAACAACGCGATCATTTAGACTAATAGTTATGGTCTGGAAAACTGTGAAAACGGTTTTCACCTTTCCCTACAAGAATGACTCAAAACTCATTTAAGACTTTACAGGAAGCTTTGCTCCTTTCTCCGGAACAAAAGCTAATAGATGACGAAGAATTTGCCGTGCTGTATGAAGAATTCACTCCCCAAAACCTTCCGTTTCGCCACTGGGATTATGAAAAATTTTCCCTCGAAAACAAAGACCCCGCAGAGTGTAAGGCAGACTTCAGATTTGAAAAGAGTGACATCTCATTGTTGGTGGATGTTTTACAGATGCCTGATACCTTCACATGCCCGAATGGTACCGTTTGTGATTCAACAGAAGGACTTTGTCTTACACTAAAGCGTTTTAGCTATCCGTGTAGGTTGTCTGATATGATTTCCGCTTTTGGCCGATCAGTACCCGAGCTCAGCATGATTAGCAATGAAGTTACTGAATGGATGTAAAATGCTCATGGCCACAGGATTACCGAATGGAATAATTTCATTATGTCTCCTAACCTACTGCAAACTTACTCTGTAGCAATTCATGACAAAGGTGCCGCCTTGGACAACTGTTTCAGCTTTGTTGATGGAACGGTTCGTCCCATATCAAAATCAGGAGTCAATAGCTGTTTATAATGGCCACAAGCGTGTTCACGCTCTTAAATTTCAATCCTTGGCCCTACCAAATGGATTGATTGGCAATCTGTTTGGACCAGTAGGTAACGGTATATTCATTCATTTTTTCATAGTGGGATAGTGCCGTAGCTGTTTTTACTTGGATAGACATTTTTATCACTTATGTGAAGTTAAAAGTTAGATTGATTTCTTTTCTCATAAGGTTAAGCTGACGTTTCTTGATGACTTCCTCCCGGTCTCTCAAATCAGAGATATTTTCAGTAGCTCCCACTCCCAATTTTTATTAGAGGAACTGGTTTTCCTGTCACCACAGACCAATAAATTCTAAATTCTGACTTATGGGCCATAAGAACCTGAACTGCAAGAATAATAGCCAGCCAATCCTATGTTGTTTTTTGCCTACTCACTTACTAAGCTAATCAATGGTCTACATTGGTAACAGTTTGTCAGCCAGCCAATGTGTAACTGATTGTGGTTCAAAAATTATTTTTTTTGCTCTTGTTCAGAGTGACGAATGCATGATGCAAGAATGCTGGACACATCTGGCCTCTATGTTGACCTGGCACAGTTCGCCTTTTCCCCTGCTGGACAAGAGAGATGTATCTACGGGGATCTGGCATATCCTCTACGTACCCATCTGCAGTGCCCCTTCAGACATGGGGTGTTAACAAGACAAATGGAAGAGTTTAATGCATCTATGAGTTCTGTACGTACAAGTGTGGAATAGTTGTTTGGACACTTTATAAATTATTTCAAGTTTCTCGACTACAAAAAAATCTCAAAATTGGCCTTAGCCATGTAGGAAAAATGTAAATTGTTTGTGCACTTTTGCGGAATGCTTTAACATGTTTTTACCGCAATACGACTGCTGACTACTTTGGCCTTGATCCACCACCACTAATCGATTACTTTAGCTAAAATACTGTAACAAAAACACCTGTCAATGCCTAAGTTTGCATAAAATCTTGCATAAAATCCTGATTGAACAGTTTTTGTGGGAATGTTACGACAAGGGGTCTATCCTTAAGTGTTCGTGAGCAAACGTCCTCGCTCTTCTTCTCGTGTTCCTAGTTTTTGGAGCTCAAACCCATCGTTAGCTTTTCTGGAAATGGAAGGATTCTTGGTAGTTCGAGCATTTGGCACAGTAGACTCATCCTTGTTAGTGGTGCGCCCCGAGGCAGAGATAGTGGAAGAGGCAGGATTTGGAGGTTCACCTTGGTTGGAGGTTAGTGATCCACAAAATTTTAGTATCTTGGGAACCAAGCAAGTGATAATATACAAAAGCGCCACCTTTATAATTTCATCTGCTGTTTCCCTTCCATAAAATGAGTGCCCTGCTAAAACTGGAACAACAGCAGCACAACAAAAGCCAAAGAAACAAACCCCAGAGAATATAAATGCTTGAGAACTTGCACACAAAAAAAGATGCCACAGCAGAGAAAAAGAGCTGATGATAAATACCAAGATTATCAAAAAAACAGTTAACCCCCATGTTGGGGTTATCATTATGCCTATAAGCAGCCAGGAAAAATGGTATAGGAGTAAATTTACCCATATGTAATAGATTGAACTGCAGAAAACTCCTTTGTTCCTTTTCATGGTATCTTGGTTTCTACCCTGAGTTCCCTGGATACCCCCATTGCCTTCCTGATGGCCCTGGTTACCCCCATTGCCTCCCTGGTCAACACTGCTGCCTCCCTCAATGTCCTGGTCACCACTGCTGCCTCCCTCAGTGTCCTGGTTACCACTGCTGCCTCCTTCAGTATCCTGGCTACCACCACTGCCTCCCTCAGTGTCCTGGTTGCCACTGCTACCTCCCTCAGTGTCCTGGTTACCACTGCTGTCTCCCTTAGTGTCCTGGTTAATACCTGGTTTACCTCGGCTATACTTCTTCCATTTTAAAATTAAGACAATTACAGGACCCTCAGTAGTGATTATTCCTATAAATACTATTATAAATATCATAGGAAGCTCTGTTTTGTAACTTTTAGCAAAAGTGTAGATAATAAATGGAATTTCAATTAGCAGCATAACAAAAACAGTTGAATCTGCTGCATGAACTATAGGCTTTTCCTCCCAAAAACAAAAACTGTTGGTATTTTCAGGATAATTCTTCAAAAACTCCAAGATAAAATGGGCTAGTAATGGACCAAGTAGCATGACAGATATAAAAGAGCAGAATAACATTGAATATATCAAATTACTGTGTCCTGTATCCAGTTCTCTTGGGTCATGATCCTTAATGACACATTCAGCTGTGTTCAGCCTTGGATCTGGTATTGCTGGACTCACTGCCAAGTCTTGGAGCTATAAATTACATAGCATAAATAGTGATATATACAGTTAATACATCTTTTTGAAAACTAAATAAGTGTAATACACATCCCTGTTAACAGCTATGCTGAAAAGCTGCTTAAATTATCTCAAAAATGGAAATCACACAATAAGTTTTTATTTCTGATTTTCCAATAACTCTATGCAACCATGAGAAGAAGCCAAAAGTATATAAGGTAAGGTGCTCTATCTATTGCCATTTTGTGCCCCACAAATCACATATTGCAGAGCTAATCTTTTGCTTTTAAGGTCAGCAGGAATTGCAGTTCTTTTTTCAAGAAAACAACTGTTTAAAGCACCTGAACAATTTAATTTTAAGTAATGTATTCACTCACATTTTGGCCTGTTTGATGTTATGTACTGGTTATTTTTGAGACTCCTTTTCATATGGTTTCAATAGAATTTGAGGGAAACAAGTTCCAATCCACCAATCCAAGTGTGTGCTCCTTTCCACAAGGATTAACATTCAGTGATTGGACATGTGAAAAATAACATCTGCAGGTCCACTTCAAGGTTGGCTATAGCTCTATATTATTCTGTGTAAGCATGTGTATTTTTTAAGTGAATTAACTTTTGTATTCGTTTAAAAATTCATTGATGAGATATGACTTGGAGACTCTTTGATTTATTATTATGGTCCAATAAAAAACAAACAAGGAGTTCTTATACCTTCACTATATTGTTCTCAGATGAAGCAAGGAAAATCACATCCACCAGCAGATTTACACTTACCTCAGCTATAACATCCTTAATCATCTTTTCTCTATTGCTCTCACAAACTTTACAGCAAAAGGATGGTAGAGTAATATCTAGATGCCCTGTGCGAGGATCCACTAATATTGAGCCAAGAGACATGCCCTGCAGGACAGCTGTAGGTAATGCAACAAATAGGCAATTTGTACTCCAAGTGTACTTGACTGCATTTGATCTAGGACTCTGTGTTCCATTAGGTCCATACACATTCACAAAGACAAGTACAGAAGAAGGCTTCTTTACTGGATACAATGCTGCTCGAATGTTATAGCTGTTCTCCCCTGAAGCCAAAGCATTATATATGTCTCCATAAGTCCCAATACATGGCTGTTTATCGATGCAATGCCTGATAACATTATTTCTGTTGTTAGCACATTCCACGATACTAAAAATGCAGAATTTGATGACAAAGAGAACAGTAAACTTCAATGGAAAAGCCATGTGCACCTCTCTGTTAAACATCGATCTCCACTGTTTTGCTTTGTGGTAACACTTCTGACCTCAAACAATAAAATGATTGAAACTTATTAAAGACCCTCATTAGCTAAAAAAGAAAAAAAAATATAAACATATGGAAACCATACATTCTAAATCTTGTACCACAAACAAACCCTCTGGGCAGTAAAGATACAAAACATATTGATTTAACAAAGCAATTAATTGTGGAAACAAAAACAAATGCAATAAAGTATACCCTGAGAAAATTGAACAAAACATGTTTTTGGTATTAGCCTTGGTCATTGAAAGTTATCTTAGACCTAGACCAAGGCCCAAACTTATCTTGACTAATAATTAACTTGCTAAATTAAATTTTAATTAAAAAAATTCCATATGTTCCATTCCCCAGCCCCTCCATTCCCTGTAATATTAGATCTCTCTTAACTGTGAGACAGTTGAATATTCATGAAAGATGTACAGTAAATAAATTTGGTTTGAAGACAAAATAAAACATATCAATCATGGAATAATTATAATTTGCACATTAAAGATCCCTTGCGCCCAGATGGTTTGCTCGCAACAAGAAGGAATGAACATGGTTGGCGTGAAACCTGAGAACCTTATGAAAATGCTAAAAACATTGTGAATTCCATCTTTAATTTGCTGTTTCGCAGGTGTTGAGAAGACATTGACATGCTAAGGGAGTGTAAGTTATGCCAATGGCATACTTCCGCCTCTGCAACATCATTATATTCGATGCTTCATCCCTACTTAACCATAAACCAGTGTTATGAACAAATTATTTTTATTGTTAATGGAAATTCTTCAATCTCATACATTAGATCAGATGGCAGCTTACCTCGACACTGCCTCAGAAGTCACTCCAATACCATAAAATTCAAAGAGGATTAAGGAAGAGGTCATATGCAGCTAGCGGTAATTTGGCGCCGACAACTCAACATGATGCGTGGTTACATAGCAGGCGGAATGCGCACTCTGATTACGTTGCACTGTGGTAGGTTTATTTTCAATATGGCGGTGAAAGTACCAGAAATATGTAGACTTTGACTGAACATTCCTTAAAAGTTAGGCCGTTCCTTTTCCTTTTCCTTTTCACCATAGTTAAATGTACTTCGATTTATTCTGAATGTGTAAAAATATAATTTTTGGACGTATTTGTGGCGTATTTTATGGTTCTCAAAGACAAACACAATCACTGTTTTTTAGTATGTAATTTGAGACCGGTTTTCGAGAAGGTCAGATTTGATTTACGTCGTAGTTTGGAGCCTTTCAAAGATTTGGGTGGCTGCTTTGATCCTTCTTCAACAAACGCTCTCCAACGGTACATGTGTTTTGTTATGTTAATTTACTTTAAACCTCATAGGAGTTACGTAACCCAGAAGTGTCAAGGAATCTATTAATATTCGTTTTCGTTCAAACCGCGTGTGTTGTAATTTTCTTGTCAGTTACAGTGTAGTCGTTGTGTGTTAAAGGTCTTTTCTTAAAGTGGAGTCATTTCGCGTTTGGAGAACACAACATGTGTCTCGCATTTTAAGTGCTAGTGTTTGAGACCGATTATGGCCGAGAAAAGGGGGTGTGGACAAAACGTGCGGCAGGCCATGGCCTACCTTGTGGCCGACCCTACGGCCTTACGGGTGGTCAGATTTTTAAAAACATAAGAATAAAATCAGTAAGAGTCGAATAATTAATTAATTAACTAACTTTAGGACGTTTAATTTTGAGATATAAAAAGAAAAGAAAAAATATAAAACAGATTGTTAAATTTGTCAATTACTCTGTGTGTTATATCTTTTTGACACAATGTCATGCAATATAGTATCCCAAATGAACTTCCTGTTACACAGAGAACAGCTTAATAGACCACTTGTATTGTTATGCTACCACACTTCAGTAGGAAAAGCAAGTAAAGTTTGTGAAATGTTTATGACGGCGATGCCTGCGTGTCCCGGAGTGCTTGTTGCAAATTCAATACTTTACAGCACTAAAGAGGCACTTAAAAAATTGGCCTGGCACGCACTGTTTGCGTTTTCCTACCTGGATATGTTGTCCGATATAACGCCGTTCATTACATTCTTAAACTAGCACTCCACTATATGTTACCAACTGGCAGCCTGTATGGATCATGAAGCCGCCATTGTGGATATCCTTAGCGACCACGCCATATTGGCCCCTCCTCTCCCCTCCCCCTTAACTTACCGTTATGATTGAGTGCTTGGGTGGGGAAGACAGAGTTAGGATGTTTCAAGGCTGAGTGCTGTAATATTTGCATTGTTTCGTTCAGTCGGAAGTTGAAAATCGTGTTAGTGACTTTTTAGTATACCCTTTTTAGAGGCATAGAATTGTACGCCAGCGTACTCGTTCGACTCTTACTAATTTTATTTTTATGTTTTTAAAAATCTGACCACGGGTAGGCCATTGGGTAGGCCATAGGGTAGGCCACAGGGTGGGTCATGGTCTAACCCACGTTTTATCCACACCCGAGAAAAGGTCTATTGTTGCGTTACACAGCGTTACTATTGAATACTTAATTGTGTTGTAAATCTACTCTCCTAAGTAAAAGCAAACTAACTAATCGCGGGTGTTGTATGGTAAGTCTACTATCTTGATCATTGAATGAAGGACAGTTGAATTAGAGAAATGAAAGAAGCCACTTGACCAATGAATAACTCTACAATACACACGGCGACACGCCGGGTAAGCCGGAAAGCAAAAGACAGTCGATCGTGAAAAGGTGTGGATAGGCTTGTGCGACTCCTGCCATTCGCTTGCGCTTTTGAATCTTCTGACCTGAAGGCCCAGCTGCTATTAGGATATCATTTAACGACTTTCGTTTGCGATGTGTTGAAAGGTGTCATTTCCCCATCTGTATGTTCTCGTGGTTTCCCAAAGCCGGATGGAATTGTGTTACAAAAGGTAATGTTTTCAGGTGTGCGCGCTAATTTTCTTTCGCTTTCAAGTATATTGTCTTTCCTGCAGAAAATGACTCCAGAGATACGTTTCTCAAAACCATATTCTAGGTATTCTCTATTCTTTAAGCATATTTGAAACGCTGAGCGTTTTTTGTTAAACGTTGAGCGTGACGAATTTGGTCTAAGGGTGCAGTTTTGATTCTTTCTGAATGTCTTCAGTTGCCTCCTGACAACGAATTTGTCACGGAGGAATAACAGGAGTCGCGCAGGACCGCAAACACTTTTTAACTTTCGAAGGAACAGCAACAGACGGTGAATCCCCATTACATTCCACGTTTATTCACGCTTGTTGCTTGTTCATTCATCTTGCTGTCACCAAAAATGTTCACTCGACCGCGACAGGATGCAAATTACTCGCTTTTCATTTTACGACCATGATTCAACGCAATCAGAGTGCGCACATCGCCTTGTTACATGGAAAAGCCCAAGATGAAGAAGGCGCTCCTCGAAACTGCCAAAAAGGTTACTGGATTGGAGGATAAACGCAAGCAAGGCAAACATACAGGTGACTTAGCCCAAAAAATTCAATTTGCGGCCAAATATTTGGTTACACAGTGAGGTACGAGCTTCGCAACGTGGGAATAATTCTAGGAATTTTCCGTATTGGTGTATTTAACGGTCCCAGTGGGCCTCCTTTTCTCTAATTTTCTATTTGAATAGCACAGCAACAAGTCTCAGAGCTCTGTCATGATAGCAGTGCTCTGTTAACAGCTGAGAATGAAGACCGAATCGGGATACACCAGTCCATCCTTTCGATCGGCCTCTCGGCCCGAATTGTTTATTTACCCAATTTTGTCATCGTTCGAATATAATGCGAACCCTCTCTACTTCTAAACTTTCCATGGTTTAAGTTTACTGGTTATGAGTATATATCCATATTTTTCCTATGCTCTACAGTATTAAGATTTTATCATAAGTCCTCTCTCTTCGCTGGTGTCGGGGAAAGTAAGCTTTAAAACGGATTGATGAAAACAGGAACTGAACTATGCCGCCATAACACTATTATACTAGCTTACTAGGGACAGCAGCTGGTCAAAACTTACGACCCTTCAAAAAATTAGAGGAGAATGATGCGTGATCCACGTTATTTTACACATTTGCGAATCTATCCAAATCTTTGCCAAAATATTCTAAACCGGAAAGATTTTTTAGGCCAAATCCACCGATTCACCAACGATCACCAACCTAATAATCATTATTTTAATAAGTTCCTGCGTTGCCCATTATGTCATTCATCGTCTAGTTATTTCTGACAAGAAATGAATAAAGATCAGTGGATTAAAATCGATGTAATCATACATACAGTTAGCTGGAAAACTTGTCCACTCCCATTTTTTCACCAATATTAATTTAATAACTAGATTTACAAAATACCTCTAAACAAATGGGCGGAAAAAACTTGGGAAGGTGAAGCAAAGACTTTGGAAATTTGACAACGGCTATTGTACTCTCCTTTTGAAAAATTGTCCCTTTATTTTATCCTGTTGACACCTTTTTGATGAGAAAAGAAGAGGTAAACATGTATTTTCTAATTGCAACATTTTTTAAAACATATATATATAATTATATATATATATATATGTATAATTAAGAGAAAAAATTGAAGACATCAAAAGGCACAAATTATATATATATGTATGTATATACATATATATATGTATGTATATAAATATATATAAATATATATATATATATATATATGTATATACATATATATACAATATATGTTTATAGATGTATGTCAGTTTTTTTCAATTTTTGACTTGTATGTTCCATTTGGCAACTTAACATTGCCTCTGAAATAGCATTCCCTTTCACAAGTATCATAGACGATTAGGACTTAACTTGGTTACAACTCCTCCGGCTAAGATCCAAATGGCTCTTTGGCTTGAGATCACTCACTGAGGGTGATGAGAGGTTTTTATAGCTAGTTTCCAGGAAATGTTGACATTGTATTGGAAAAAGAATGTATACAGAAAAAATTTTCGTTTAGTGTGACATGTTATGAGCCTTGTAGGAAGGGAAGAATCTCAAATTTTGGGTAAAGTGTGCCCTTCTCCTAAAGTCTCAAAGCGAAGTTATAGCCTCATTCAGTGTTCAGTCTTCTTTGATGAATGTATATTTCTTTTTTTCACTTTTCTGAACATTAAACCAACAATGTGAGTAGTGGGTCACATGTACTGATGAAATCAATTTGTTTCAATGTAATACAGGAGAAACTGACAAGACTGATTAACTGCAAACACACTACTCTGGTAAAGAGTGTGAGTGAAATAAATGAAATGCAGTCTCAGATCAGGGAAGTTGTATATAATTTGAAGGAAAACTGTGCCCTAGTTCGAGTGTTATTTTATCCTAGGGAAAGAGGAAGCATTCATTCTGTCAGTACAATGACTATAACCATGACTTTTGCTCCCAGGCCTCTAGATAAACCATGGTAATTTCCAGAGGGCTAAGATACTGAAAAGATCAATATACTCCTGTGACTGTGGGGAATTTTTTTTTTTTTAACTCAGGTGAAATGAAAAAGAAGGGAAAGAAGAAGAAAAAGAAAAACAGGCTGGAGCTTGACAATCTATCCCACTTGTTTCAACTTCAGGCCTACCATAATATATCAGTCTCTTACAATTTAAAATATTTTTTGTATGCTGTTTTAAAAAATCATCAATGTTTTGAGTTCTGTTTAGCCACACTTTTCCAGGAATGGAAAGACCTTCAATAAAATTACAGTTAGGTCTAAAGTCACTCACCAATGGCTGGTGATTTTAAACCTGATAAAAGACTGCTGCTTATTTATGAAATATTACACAAGTAGTATTTGGAAAAACCTTGAGTCTGTTAATATAACATTCAACTTAAGAGATTTCAACATTAAAACACATATTTGCTAGAAACATGGACATAACTGATCTCAAATTGATGAAAAGTAACTCTGAAATTTAATGCTTAGTTTCATTCACGAAACAAGTCTTTTTCACTACTCCTTCCCCTTTCTTTCTGCCCATGGGATCTCATGTTTCCCCTGTTTTCTAGTAAATTCAGCCCATGTTTTGCAGCTGGGCCCAGTGTTGTCACCATAAGCTTAAACTTTGAACTGATCAACCTAGCAGCCAGAAAAAAAATTTAACTTCCTCACTGATGATGTCTTGATGCTTGTTTTTATTTCCACATTAAACAATTCCTTGCTTACTTTTTTGACCCCCACAAATGGAAAAGGATATGAGGAGGAATTTTTTAGATGTAGAAAAAAAAATTTTCTTACATGATTGTTTTGACAGCTTGTGGTCCAACCCACATGACTGGGAGATCTGTCCAGGATGGTCTCCCCAGCACAAGCACAAGCGCAAGAGGATCAGAAGATGATATGCCTCTAAATGGCAGCAATTCTTCATTAAGTGAAAGTGAACCAGGTAAAATGTTTGAAAAATACACCCACCACCATCCAATGATGTATTAGCTCAAGGTTGTCAACCAATGAATTACCATCTAACAACACCTACTCTTTACTTGACTTTATATCATAAAACTTTGGATACCTCCCTACATCATGTCAACTTTGGAGAAAGGAGGGAATGATTAATTGAAGTTTACCTCTCCTAATGCTGCAAGAGCAATATGGCCTATGCAGCACTATCCTAAATGGTTAAGTTGAATACATTTATGTATCATATCTAGTTTTCAACATCAAATGGGAGAATTGTACTTGGTCAGGAGAAATACGTACAGTAGGTTACATGATTGTTATTTTTCAAGGCGTTTATCTTTTGATCACAACAACCTTTGACTTGGGTTTTTGAAAAAGGCTTCAAAATTAATAGTTTTGCAAGGCTGTGCTCTAAGGAAAATTTCAGGGAGCCCTTCGGGCTCCCAAGCGTTTTAGCTTGGGTGCCCAGGCCTAAAAGATGGTCGCCCAAATCAAAATTTCGGGGAGCCCGAAGGGCTCCCAAACATTTTAGCTGAGGTGCCCGGGCCTCCTAGTTGGTCGCCCAAATTAATAAATCAGTCAGTTAATTATTAAAAATTAAACAAACTGTTTTCGTAACGAGTCAAATAGAACTATGTGCATTTATTTATTGTTTTTATGTTCATGAAACATCGTATCCTTTGACCTCCTGAAAACCTATCGGTGAAATGTTCAAGACAAATGAGCTTTTTGTGGATTCGGTCGATTTTATTTTTAGTGCGTGATACGTAATAACTTGTCACGACACCAAGGACAATGCGGGACTTATAGAGTTTATACCCGTTTCTAAAACAATCACAAAAAAAAAAACGTATCTTTTTCTTTTTATACATCGTGTTTTACTGGAAAAACAATCTTAAGTTATGTTTTTTGCCTCGCAGACACGGCAGTAAAAAGCCGGCTAAAATATTAAATTAGCATAGAAGAGCGACTCCCGTGTTTATTCAGCGATTTATTAATCGCCGACCGTACTTTACGCCTATCAGAGCAGAAGTAACAACTTCTTTTGAAAAACTAGCAGATGAGCCATCCCAATTTAAAGGAAAAATTTTAATGCTATTGGAAAAGCCGTTAAAATCGAAAACTGTGCAGCTAGTCAAGTTCAAAGTCAAGGATTATGCTACATGTGAATTCACGTGGAACGACCTTTGAACATCAACGCGCGCCCGATGGAACAACATTTTCTTTTAAAAGAACGACTCCCGTGTTCATTTAGCGATTTATTAATCGTCGACCGTACTTTACGCCTGTCAGAGCAGAAGTAACAATTGCTTTTCAAAAACTAACTAACGAGCCATCCTAATTTAAAGGAAAAATTATAATACTATTTGGAAAAGCGGTTAAAATCGAAAACTGTGCAGCTTGTCACGATCATTTAAGTCGATGATTATGTTACACGTAAATTCACGTGGAACGACCTTTGAATATCAACGCGCGCCCGATTGAACAACATTTTCTTTTTTTTTTTTTGACTGTAAATCAAGAAACCAACACCAGCCAGTCGCCCGGCCGGGCGACCAAGAAAATATTTTCAGTCGCCCGAGGCCAAATGTTAGTCGCCTCAGGCGACCGGGCGCCGTTAGAGCACAGCCTTGTTTTGCGTCGCCTATTTGCGACTGCGGTGTTGACTCTGAATCAGTGAAACATTGTTCCTTGCATTGCCCAAGGTATGCCGCTCAAGGTAATGTTCTCCTTACCTCAGCTGCTAGTAACATGAGACATGGTCTTCGAGCGGCGATGCAAGGATACTAAACTTTTTAATGTAAGGTGTCGAGTCTGTAAATTACGATGTCAATTGTGCTTTTTTCCCGCGAAGTGCAAATTTTATAATTAATACTAATCACTTTTCAATGGCCATTGTTTGATTGTTTAAATAATATATCCCTAGCTATGTAGGTTTAACTCGTTGTTATTACAATTTGTGGGTATTGTCTGTGTGTGTATTCGTGTGAGCTTGTATAAATTAAATTAAAGTTTATATATTCCCCCTAAGCAAGCCTAAAAAAAAGGTTGTGTTCATAAGTTGTGGTTACGAATGTTTTTTTCCCCATTAACAACAAAGAGGGCAACCTGTTCTGACAAGCTTCATTTCTTTCCTGTTTATTGATGAATGTAATATAGTGGAGGATGAGAGGCCAGGCGTTGAGACTAACAAGAAGATCAACAAAGAGAGCAGTGGAATGAATCAGATGGATAATGCCGCAGCAGACCTAAAAAGTGCCAACGATAATGATTCAAATGCAGATCAGGCTAAAGTGACTGTCACTGGGCGATCTTTTAAAGTCGCAGATATTCCAATTAAAGTGAAGAGTAAGATCTGCCTTAAACTTAATGTAGAAGATAATTATTTTTCAAATGATTATCGCTTACTTGGAGAGAAAATGGGAATTGATCGAGATGCAATAAAAAATTTAAAACGGTCAGCAAATCCTACCCATGATCTTCTTGAGCTGTGGTCTGCTAAGCGTGAGGCAACTGTAGAGAAGCTCATAGAGTTTATTAGAGAGGATGATATGGATAGAGATGATGTTGCAACCATTCTTGAAGACTGGTTGAAAAAAGAGATTTCAAATACTTGAGGTATTGACAATTTTTATTATTTTTGCTGAGGGGTTTTAGTTTTTCTTTAAGAAAAAGCTATGTTCATTTAATAGTGTTTTACATTACGTTAAAATAGATATTAAAATCCTTTTTTGTTTTTATTTGTCGATGTCTGGTTATGTTATATTTAATCTAGTCCTTTAGAACTAAAACCGACTTGATTACTGTGATTGAGCTCTTTGCTAGTTTCCGTTGCTCCCTCCTGGAGTCGTTTTCCCCCGTTCTGATATCCCACTGTGATTAAATTTCTTTTGGTTTCACGACACGAAATTCGAAATTACTCATTTTGCCTCTAGCATATATAATATTTGCCTTCTCAAGATCTTCAGCTTTTAAGTTTGTTCGCAAATATTTGCAAATCTTTTGCGTATCAAGCGATTGAAGGGTCCTGAGAGCGAAAAAGCTTTCCGTGGAGAAAACCTTTTGCCTGCATTCCATCAAAGTTGCACCAAGAGAAATTAATGGGACAGAAGGGGAAAATTGGGGCTTTGGTCGTGATATGTGAATTTCACCCAAGTTACGTTAGCTTGGGGTGGAGAGCATTGTGGTTTCCTAATGTAGTTTCTTGTTTTCGAAGTTAGTTTGTTTTTTAAAATAACCATTCTCGTCGCTGTTTCTCAATACATCAATCTTAAAGGCGACTAAGGCTCACTGAAAGAGAACGGATTTTCCGCAAGCAAAAGGACGTATGCAGAACGATAAGCAAATGCATGACATGTGCAAGTAAACAGTTACACAACATTTGTTTCGCATTAAACGAAACGTGACTCTCGTCTGGCAGCAAAACTTGCTATCGCTTGTCTTATCAATGTAAACGTCACTAATTTCTGAATATAATTTCAATAGTTAACCTTACATGTCAACACAAGCATGGAGTGGTTCAGCTACGATTATCTGTAACTAATTTAAGTAAAACTGAAGCGTCCTAAGTCCTGACTTAGAAGCTACCTTCACTGTCCCATTTTTTGTAGTGGTTGCTCTCTGGAAAGGTCCAGGCTAGTTATGCATGAGGAAGGCTACCAGCCCCTCCTATGGCAAGCTGTAACATATTAGCACGTGATAATTACCACCTATTGTAAGTTATATCTGGTGTACGCATATTTAAGTAAGCAGGCACATTATGCAAATACAGACAGAGCACACACACGCGGTGTGCGAGAGTTGGAAGCAATAAAGTCTTCGACGATATATAAATCGCATGGTGGAAGCGGTTTACAAGGATAATTTCTAAAGTTGAATCGAGAACTAGAGAGGCCAACAAAAGCGAATCATGGTAGCAGCAACGTCTTTTGCGTCGCCACAGGTGGACTGGGACGCCCCTGATCCGATAAATGCATTCACAAGGTTCAAACAAAAATGTTAGCTTATATTTTCGAGCGTTCTCAAAGACAACGACGACGGTGAAAAAGTGAGCTATATTCTATTCTGGTCGGGAGAAAAAGGTCTGGATATATACAACAGCTGGTCATTCACAAAGGAGGAAGACAGAAAAAAGCTTGCCATTATCTTCAAACGGTTCGAGAATCAACTGGAAGCGAAGACGAGTCATCGAATTCACAGATATATCGAGATATACACTACAAGGAATACGAAAAGAACAAGGCGAGCCAGTGGATGGTTTTATTTCAAGACTAAATATTTTAGCAGCAAAATGTCAATTTCGCGCCAACATCGAAGTCGAAGATAGAGTTTTAGATCAGCTTATTTGGTTGTCAAGAAATCCTGATATTAAAAAATCTCTCATAAACCGAGATAAATCACTGACCTTGCAGCCGCTATTGAGATTGCAAGGAGCCACGAGGCGACGAGTGAACACATGAAAACACTAGCAGTAAGTAGTAAAAGCTATCAAGAGGACAGAAGTATTGATGCTATTAGTAAGGAACAAGAAAGGGAATTCTGCAACAACTGCGGAAAACAAAGCCTGAGGAACAAATGTCCAGCCTACGGTACATCATGCTGAAAAGGTGGCAAAGCTAATCATTGGCAATCTGTCTGCCGGTTCGGAAAACGGAAACAATTCAAGGAGCGACGGTGATGACGATGAAATCCTGACAATTACTACCATCGAGGTCAACGCCATGGAAGACACGCGACATTTGATACACGATACACGCGACGAAGCCTTTGCAACATTTGAGATAACTCAGCCAGACAAGAAGCGGAAAATTAATCTCCAGTGCAAGGTAAACACAGGTGCACAAGCAATGTTTTGCCCATCAGACTACTACGCATAATCGCCCCAGAGAAGTTTGACGACGAAGGAAATTCCAAAGCAGAAACACTGGAAAAGAACGAAGCCGCCCTTTCAGCATATGGCGGCTCTATAATCAAGCAGCTTGGCACCATAAATATTCCCTGCAAGTACAAAGATAAGAAGATCGACTGCGTTTTCTAAGTCACAGACACTTCAGGGCCAGCTATTCTCGGTTTAACAGCGTGCACTGCACTGAAACTAGTCTCCTTACTTTGTACATTCAGAACAAATCAACTAGATTAGGCCGATCCAACTGACAGCTTCAATGTTCCTACTAAAAATTCAGACACTTACTAGAAAAGCCCGAATTACATCGGAAGTCATGAACCACTGAGAGAACGGTCACCAATCAGAAATAAACTAGAATTGATGGAGATGTACCCAGAATGTTTCAATGGCATTACTGGATGTTTTGACGACTATACGTATCACCCGAGTGCCCATAGAGTTGAAAGACAAACTACAAGCCGAACTACGTGAGAAGGAAAGCCAAAATATCATTGCAAAAGTAACACAACTCACAGATTGAGTTAACTCCCTGGTTATTAGAAGAAAAGAAAACTGGCGACTTCGTTTATGCCTCACCCTAATGACCTGAATAAGGTGATCAAAAGAGAACATCATCCTATACCCACTTTAGAGGAAATTACACCCAAATTAGCAGGAGCGAGGCTCTTTAGCAAGCTCGATGCTCGCAATGGCTATTAGAGTGTCAAATAAGATGAGGAATCTTCATACCTAACAAGTTTTAATACACCATTTGGTTGATACCGTTTCCTTAGGATGTCGTTTGGCTTACGAATGAGCCAAGATATCTTTCAATTAAAGATTGACGAGATATATCGTGATTGCCAGGGAGCCATTGGCATTGCAGATGACGTTACAGTCTACGGATAGAATGACAATGAGCACGACATACACCTACATGATACCATGGAACGTACCAGAATAGCTGGCATCAAGCTCAATGACAAGAAGTGCGTTATCAAAACAAAGGAGTGTAATTTCTTTGATATACTTTACACACCAGACGGTGTCAAGCCCAGCCCAGACAAAGTCAGAGCCATAGAAAATCTAGAACCACCCAAAGACAAGAAGGAGCTTCACACTTTTTTAGGGATGGCAGCCATGAAAGAGAAAGTGAAGTCATTGATATGTATCACAACGACCCTGACGTACAATGACAGAAACGAACCAGTTGCCCTTCACGTTGACGCATCAATTCAGGGCTTGGGCGCAGCTCTGTTCCAAAACAACAAGCCAATAGCCTTTGCATCGAAAGCACTTACCCTTACGAAGACCAGATATGTCAATATTGAACGAGAGCTATTAGCAGTGGTCTGTGGCTGCGAAAAGTTCCACTCGTACCTCTACGGAAGATCGTTTGTGGTCAAAACAGAGCATCGCCCCCTTCAACAGATCCTCAAAAAGAACCTGATGCAAGCACCTCCACGTCTTCAAAGAATGATGTGGCGTCTAGAACCCTATGACTACGATATTAAATATCTTCCAGGAAGAGAAATGGTCACAGCTGACACCCTGTCACGCCTTTCACCTTTGGATGAATTTGAAGTACCAGACATGAATGTGAAAATTCACCACCTAATTAGAATCACCACAGCTAAAATGGAAGACTTCAAAGAAGAAACAGAACCAAGAAGTTAGAAATTGGCTCAAAGCGAGACAAGGTAACCAGTGCTACAATTACAACAGGTACACCAAGGAACTCCCTGAACTACACGGGAATCAAGCCATCTATGTACAAGATCCCGAGAGAAAGCCGTGGAATCCTGGTAGAGTCGTAGATCAGGGAGATACGCCCCACTCATATATTATAGAAACTGAAACTGGTGCGCAGCTACGAAGAAATAAGATCCATCTTAGACCAAACAATACCTCCAACAACCTAGCAAACAACTTGTCGAGTTGCATTCCTCAAGGAAGTATAAGGAAGTATAACCTAACAATCCTCATGTATACAAGATATTTATACCTTAGACATTGGCTCGAATATATGTGTTTTTGCTTTTGCTTGTTTCCGTTTTAATTAACATAATTTTAAGAGAAGGAGATGTAACATATTAGTAGGTTATAATTAGCACCTATTGTAAGTTATATCTTGTGTACGCATATTTGAGTAAGCAGGCACATTATGCAAATACAGAGCACACACACGCGGTTTGCAAGAGTTGGATGCAATAAGGTCTTCGACGATGTATACATCGCACAAGCTATCAGTTCCTGATACAGAATTACTTGGGGCTGAAGATACAAAACTTTACATAGTTGGCTGTGTTGATAAGACCTCAATTCATAGGTACACCCACGTCAAAGGAAAAATGCATGTTGTCAGAGGGACCCCTGAACTACTCCATGGTACTCCTGACATCCACAGCTTAGGCCTCATTCATTAATTTCCTAAAACATACACCATAAGAGCTTAAAGGATTTTTGCCTCACATCGTCTCGACGATTTCATTAGCCTTTTCTCGGGATGGTAGAGAAGGAGATCACATGTTTGGCACTCCTTGTTGCCAAAGAGCATGGTGAGGAACCAACTGACCAGTTACCACCAATTTGCGTTGTTCCCAAACCAAACGGAGACATTTGAATGAGTGTAGATTTGACAAAGTTGAATCAAACTATTGAAAGAGAGCTGCATCAAATATCAACCATGGAAAGCACGCTTGAATTACAGAGGTAAGCGCAGTATACTTACTCAGGATTCCATCAAGTACTCCTAGATCCAGACAGCCGAAGGCTGACTACACTTGTCACCCCCTTTTGTAGATTTATTTTCAATCGGCTATCGGAAGGAAGCGGATGATGCAAGTATCGAGGGGCCTGCCTGTATGATGCGAAATTCCTCTTCAATGACGACCCTGTAGTGGGCCATACAAAAGTAGAACATAACGAGAGGTTACGCGCTTTTCTGGATCGCCTCGTACAATATGGGATAACCCTGAACCTATTATACTCTTCCTGTGGAAGATTATTCATTGACAAGGGTTATACAAAGAACCTTCCAAAGTTTAAGTTCACGTCAACTTTCCAGAACAAAATACATGAAGTTATCGGTTAGAAAGTGTAGCCTTATTACGACTTACCAAAAAAACTAAAACAAAAAAGGAAAGTGAACCAGGACATACTCACCAAGTACGCCACTTGAATCACAAAATAAACACGTCCGATAAAAAGCTGTATCAGTTTAACTATCTGAAGGGCGACCGTCGTGCAAGTATAACTGTATATTTATTCTGTCTTGACTCCAAGGTATGACTATTTCTTCCCTTCATTGTACTTTAGTTCTTTCAATTGAAGAAGTTTGATTCACAAGGGATTTTCCTCCAAAAGAAGCTTTGAAGTACATTTCTGTAAATTTAGCAGGATCAATGGGAAAAGTTTTGTTCAAAGAACTTCGCTGTCAATGGCAAGCATTAAAAGGAGATTCAATGTTTAAGTCAAAGGGTTAATTTGACTTCTTTTCTTCTCAAGAACATTCATGTTCTAGATCTTCAGAGCTAACTGAGTAGCTTTTAATTGCTACTTAATACATCTTAAAGTTCGGTTCACTAGACCCAACTGGGAGAGCAGAGCTGAGAGTGGGTCCAAGGATGCACTTGACCCCTCCATGAAGCTTTAAAGGCAAAATATGAAAATTAACACTCCCCCCTGCCACAGAAAATTGATCATATTCAATAAAACTTTTTCTGAGTTTGTGAACACAATAGGCGAGAAAAACTAACTACAAGCACAACCTTGCCTCTCTTGTACCTTTAAGATAAACATTCTTGATTATTAATTTCCTTCCTTCATCTTATTTAGTAAATAAACTCCTTTAGGCGGCTAGTATGTCAGGTGGTGTTCGCGGTGAGACATTGTCCGAGAAGTGAATGCATGTCCGAGAAGCAAAGCTTTGAGGGCAAATGTGAAAATTTAAGGGCATGCTCTAAGCTAAGGATATTATTAACCGACATACCAGCTAACTAGATGGGGGTTTAACTTTTTTTTATAACCCTTCCGTTCATTTTCGTATCGCGCGTTGACAAAAAAATTTTTGACTTTTTTGTACATTCTGGAGCTGCATTTGTGGTCAATGCCACTATCACTTGACTCTACAAAAATAAAGCAAATAAAGCCTTGACTGTACTCTTTTCCGTTATGACGCATAGTAGAAGAAGCTAGAGCACGAAAAAAGTGTATGGGGAAACACGAGACATAGTCGAAAGTTTTTCCCCCTTCTCCTTGAGTGCTCTAACCGCTTCCTGCGTACTTTACAACAGAGCAGAGAACAGTCAAGGCTTTTTCACTTGTTCTATAATGAATAATCCGTCAAATTCCCCACGCATTACTTACCACTTTCAAAACAAATTTTAATTATGTATGAATTTTTAAGTGTGAATTTTAACAGTTATGCCAGTTTGGTTACAGTTTCATCATTCCAATTTTCATTTGAACGCGAAACTTTAAATGCCATACGTTGGTTAGCTATGTTTAATTTTATAACCGTTCGTAAACTTCCAATCTAACTGAGCGTGAAAACCTTCTAAACTCGGACAGTCCATTTCGTTTTCTCTTTTAGGATTCTCGTTTCTGTTCACGTTATAGTAACTTAAATTACGGCGCTTGGCATGTTCACAAACCTTTGTTTGATTTTTCTGTTGCTAATTCCTGGCTCGCTTGTTCCGAAAATGTCATTTTCAATTAACGAAAAAAAGCTTGAGAGAAGTTCGGATATTGGTTGGACATAGTGCAATTTGGCAGATGGCGTGACAGCTTTA